GGAGGAGAACAGCTCTGATAAAATCTAACAACCCTCACCTGGCAGATGGGGAATAATGGTCTACTGTACAAACTGAAACCAGGATCGTCTTCGATCGACGGAACCCCACAATGACAACTACAAGTTGGGCCAAATGGAGGATCTTTTGAAGCGCTCCAATCTTTCACCAACCAACCGCCTAGCACGCCACACACGAGGTGGGGCCAAGCGTCCATCACGGGTCACACATCTATTTGACTTGAGCATTTGATGATCGGCCACACGAAAAGCTCCTCCTTAATGAACAAGTTCTAAACATAAACCATAAAGCATAGTTTAGCCACAGCCATATCTCAACTGATTGCTATCTTGGGGGCGCCATCCTGTATAATATCCCACTGATATTCCCACGGCCAATCTTAGATACCTCTGCAACAAATTAAATTCGTAGTTGCCATGGTTAGTAGATAATCCCATTGATACCAAAAGACTAAAGGATTGGTCCCTACCCATCCAGTTGGTTGACCTAGTAATGATATCCCAATGAAATTCCCTATTTGGAGGTTTCCAACCCATGGGGGTACCCCTAAATCATCCAAATTTTAGATGGGGATTTCCATGAAATAAACCATCCTAAGCTCGCTTTTCCCCATTTATGGACAGCCCCATTTGGTGAATCATTTCCCAGGCACCTTTGGTGAACTCAGACACACTGAGTTCTCCTTCACCATCCGCATCCAGGACCTACCAAAATCTGCAGATCGCGCTGATCTACGCTAGGCAGGACGCGTTGTGGAGATCAATAGGATATGAAGATATTTGTTGTATGTAAGTGATACCATATGAGTGATATTGAGTTCTATTGTATGAGTGACTATATTATCATGTATTATCTGAGTTCTATATATATGAGTTATATGACTATATGATACGTAATATGGGCTAAATAGGCTAAAAATCACTATGGATTGTGAGAAACGGAGTTATGTCATATCCGGGCTAAATATGAATGTGTATATATATATATATGGACTATGACATATGGCTATGTATGGCTCATGTTCACCACCTACGATGCCAATCATGTTGACTGTTAAAATATACAGACTTTCGGTGATTCCGGCTGCTTCGATAACAAAGCATTGGTGACTAATGACACCCCCAGATTAGAGAGAGAGAGAGAGGGAGCGAGAGAATGCAATATGCGAATTAACAATGTGATTGCTTACAGGCGCAGAAATGGTGATGAAATACCAACTTTTATTGATGATCACAAACACATTGTTATCCAGCTAGGGGAACCTTATCAATAGCCATTCATACCCATTGTTAGTGATTAAACACCTAGTTGGATGCTGATCCAAGTTAGCAGAACCAATGGTTACGTTGCGCATGCGTTCCCACAGGTTTTTTACTCCAAAATACTCGGAGTTTAACTCCTCAGATAGGGAAGTCTGCCGAAAAGGTGTCATAATGAAGCTCATTTCATGCATGATATCAATTTTATGAAAATAATGATATCCTACAGATTTTTTCCCATACCTTGTAATTTCATCTAGTTTCCAATTGTCCATAAGTTTCCTATCATGCCCGGTTTCATGGTAAATCTTAGATACCTGGCAAACAATCTATTTTTTCTTGGTTACTACATTTTACCATTGATAGAAAAAGATTAGAGTACTAGTTCGTATCTGACCAAGGTTGACCCAGTCATTCACCAACCAGAGATCACTTCCCGCCCTGCTCCACCGACACGGTACCTTGAAAAGACGCTTGGCTTCTTCTTCATCAAAGCCCAAGACAACAAACTTGTACCTCTGCAACGGGGAAAAAAACAAATACCAGTTGTAACTTGTAACTGGTTAGTATTTATAGTATCTTGTAGTTATTACCAATAAATGGTTGTAAAATGTTGTATTCATGGGGTTAACATTCCATGAATGGGGTGACTTACTGAGGGATCCTGGATGGGGATCTCATAGCACCCCTTAAAAAGGATGGTCAATACCATGGATGGTGCCCCCCAGTGATGTGAACGTTGGTTTATAAACCCCATGAATATCTATCTATATACCATAAACCATCATATGATAACTATGGTTTATGATACTGAATGTTGGTTTATAAACCACATGCATGGGAAATGTATGGAAAATCTATGGGAAATGAATGTTGGTGTAGATTCACCCCATGAATACGATCGTTCGTTATATCTACCTAATCAACGATAGAATTCAGCCACAGGCATATCTCAACTGAACATAACTGAACGCTATCTGAAGGGGGGGCCCATCCTGTAGTCATAAGTAATAACTGATTTCAGCGGGTCCCTTAAGGTCTTGTCTTCTTCGCGGAGGAATCTTTGAAAAAAAATGCACGTTGCGGATATGGGATGCAAAATTGCGACCCATGGCCCATCGCCCATTTCTGTGATTGATTTTCTCCAGTCTTAAATATCTTAAATCAAAAAGCATCAAAGGCTAGGGTGACAAATAGTGACAAATATTACAATCCAATCAGAGAACCTGTTCATAACCCAATTTTCAGAGGAAAGAATTCGTTTCCAGCCAACTCATGACATTGTTGATCTCTTGGGATGGTAGAGGATGACGTATTGGTCACTTGAGCCCTTGGTCGCCCGACAAAGCTATGGACTTATAGACAATGGTCTATATATATATATTATTATATATATATATTATATTATATATATATTATATATATATATTATATGGACTATTTGCCTGTTAATGGTGGATTTTCCAGAGCTATGTTAATTTACCAGAGGGTAAACGGTGTGTACCTCGCCTGATTTCCGGAATTCTGAAGGCGGCATCAAACTCTTCGAAGGAGACCTGGACGTTGCACAGCAGCTTGTTGCTACAATCCCGTCGAGCTATAGATCTACCCTTCGGCAATACTACCTGGTTGGTGGTGTACCTAACCCTCTGAAAAATATGAAAGTCAATGGGAAGAATTATCCCATATATATCCCATATATTATGGAAAATAAAGCATGTTCCATACCACCAACCAGCTACATGATTCATGAAAAATCCCTGCATCAATGGAGATTTCAAAAAAAAGGAAATTCAGAATCTATAGATGAGGGGTTTTTCCAGCCCGGAGAGTGACTATATCCACCATAACTCCAACACTGGTAAACTCAACCAACCGCAGGTGCATTTCTGTCGAGCAGTGTTACTTACCCTGTGTCGTCCCTTTGTACTACTTAGCATGATTTCCAACTTCATGTATTGTGACACTCCCCAAGTTCGTATAATACCCAAAGTGATCATAATTTAAGCGTCTTATTTCAACCCATAGGATCCATGTATGCCATATATTGTAACATTTACCATTAATATACCCCCAATGTTAGCATATATACCATACATGGATCCTATGGGCAATGATATTCCCACTGTTGATGGTTCAAAGCGCTATTTTCTGACGGGCGCAGTTCGCTCACCTGGCCGCTTCCATCTGCGTCCAATTTCAGGAAGAGGTTCTTCAAGTCCTCACAGTGCCATGCCCCGGGCCCCAGCCATGAATTATGAGATTACCAAAAACAATGGTGGCCCAATGGTGGCTAACATGGTTTCTACCATTTGGTAATTTAACATAGCTGACATAGCCTTTTGAAATCTTTTGAACTTACTAAACATGGCTATTTATGGATGATTTACCCATTGAAATTGCTGATGTTCCAGTTCGCTATGTTAGTTTACAGGCACAAGCGGCGGCAAAGTCTCTTGATGTTTCAAAAAAAAACATCCAGATTTCAGGGTATCCAATGTTGATTCATACCCATGTATCACTACATATAAGCAATAGGAAAAGGGTTTTCAGCACAATGTGATGATCTAATAGTAATGATAATCTAAGAGTCTACTATTCAAATAGAATAACCGTTGAGTACCATTAATTAACATTAGGCAGGCATTATATTATCACTCATATGGTTAGAATTAACTAATGTCGCGATTAACATATTAAGTATTATCACAATTATCACGTGTGACACAACATGCTAAATCATCAACGATTAATGTTAAATAGTTATCATTTCACTATTGGTTGTTATTTGCTCCCATGATATTATGCAATCTAAGATCTATGATTTAATAATAACTGCTGCCAAACAGTAATGTATTATATGTTCATATCACCAGCCATTATAGTTGTCAATAATAGTTGCCATTCCCTACAGGATGCTGCCCACCAGTTATAAATTGTTTTATCAACCCAATAATAAATTAGTTCGTTATATCTACCATAAACCATAGTTAAACCACCTTTATCTCAAGTGAACGCTATCTTGGGGCCCCATCCTGTAACAATAGCCTGATTGACAGGTTGAAGATTAACCATATGCTGCTGATCTCCATGTGCAAAGATGTTCCTGGACAAAGTTTGGTGTTCCAGTTCGGAATGAGTCTTGTCCACCAATAGTTATCTATCATAGTTAATTAATTCACTACTAACATTGATCGTCATGAAAATAATTTATAGTAGTATTAGTTAATCACCATTATAATAATATCAACTTGATTAATAACATCATAACATCATTATAATCACCATTAATATTATTATAATCATCATTATTAACATCATTATTAACATCATTATCAACTTGATTAATATCACCATTAAAACCATTAGTTAATCACCATTATATAATATCACTAATACATTAGTTAATCACCATTGTTAATCAACCATTATTAATCAACCATTATTAATCTCCATTAACCATTCATTAACCACTATTAACCATAGATGATTAACCTAGAACATTACCATTATTATAATAACATAAAAATAATAAAAATAACATTATACTAATATTAATCATTATATAAATCATTAATATAGTAGTATTAGTTAATCACCATTATAATAATATCACTAATACATTAGTTAATCACAATTATTAATCAACCATTATAAAAATATCAACTTGATTAATCACCATTATAATCATCATTAGTTAATCATCATTAGTTAATCACCATAATAATAATAACATCATTTATCTCTCCTTGAGGGTTTTCTTTTCTTCCTCTCGAACTTCTTTCGCTCGCTCCGCCAAGTTGGCCTCCGCTGACGGCTACGACGGCTGACGGCTACGGGAACCCCCCCTTTATTAGCCAGGGTGGAAACGTTGAAACCATGAAAACCATGGGAACAATCGTGGGAAAAATGGGAAAACCATTGGAAAAACTCGTGGGAAAAATGGAGCAACTATGGAAATGTGTGTTTTAACCCAAAAACATTGGGATTTGCATGGATTTAGCCATGAACAAGTGAGGGAAAAGGTGATGAAATGGGGACTTATATAGTTTTTGGGAATGATTGTAAATATATGTAATAAATATATATATATATATGGTTTTAGGGAGCGGCAATATGCTTCTATTTTTTGGGGTACAGTACAGCATAGGGTCAATACCCCTGTGCTCTGCTTCTCATATCGCAAAAATGTCTGCCGCTTTGTCCAGAAACCAGGGGAAACCACATTTTTTTCCACACATGCAGGATTGGGTGTCATATTAATGGAATATTGGTCTACTTAATGGTGGCATATTTTTTGAAAAAAAAGGGTTGCTTCACTTTTTCCGACAGATCGACTTATTTCATGGTGGTTATAAAACAATGTTCAGATGACCGGGTGGCTTCTTTGATATCGTTCGTACCATGGTAAAAAAAAATGGATTGATTAATATATAACAAGACTATAGTGTAATGAACATGACCATGGATCACCATAGTGTAAAATATGATAGTGAAACTATTGTCACATTACTTTCCGGACATACTAATTACCATCAGTTACATTAAGATGCCATTAACATTTAATCATGTAGTTAAAAATTCTGGCATGACTATGCCATACTGCACAAATATTCTTATTAACATGTAACAGAGTAATGCAAGTGTACTACCATTATGCTGGTAGTTATTCCATGATATTTATTGAAAATTCTACATTATCGTCACCATAGTAACTATACGCACTGATACCATCGCTTGCCCCAAAATCCAAAGGCCACAACATGTACATATATCATAAGGACTATCAACACGCGTTGATCGGCAAAACATAATCATATCTGTTGGGATATTGATCATACCACACGGATTAAAATATAGATGCATGGAAATTGTACCATGATTGGTTTTATATAATACCATGTAGGGCCTCTATTCTGTTTTAACAACCAACTAACTAATCCTGCCGATCCAATGTTCAGTGGGTCAGGAGGTAGCCTGGAGTACTCACGGAAACACGATCTGAGATGCTACAAGAAATTACCTGTATTAATAGATTACCATTTTCCCCATGACCTCTGAAGGATACATATCATACATATCATTACCATTCAGGTTGGGGGGGTTGGGGGGGTATCCTCATTATTCATCATCATTACGTACCAGATTCTTTCCCCCAGGGGTGGTAGCCCTGTGTGAGTTACCGCGTCCCCAGTTGTATGCTGCTGATGATGACGACGACGATGATGATGATGTTGCTGATGCTGATGATCATGATCATGATCATGATGACGATGATGATCCTTCCCGGTCCGGGCAAACGATGGCGTTTGACCGTAACTATACCGTAGAAATATTTGAAAAGTTCCTGGCCATAATTATAATTATATTGTAGATATACTTACAATAATGTACACTATATTATATACATTATTATACATGAATTATATAAGATCAATAAACGTTTACATTAACTATATATATATATATATTCATTGTCATTGTTAATATTGTAGTTATTCTACTTGGTGGCTCATCCCACTTAGTAAATAGGTTTTATCCCTGGTTTTGTTAGTGGGATCATCGGATAAGTAAGGTAAATCCAGTGCAATACTGTAACTAGGGTGAACTAACCCACTTAGGATTCGTGGGTAGTTCGCCACCAAGTATCCATCCTTTGGCTTTCAGCTACCCTCCCAGGCCTGACTCATGGATTGGGCCTTGCGACAAATCACTGCGGTTACCTCGCGTCAGGCTGCGTCAGATCTTCTGCTGGGATTGCACAATGACATATAACATGCCCCATTCTTTGATGATTTTTGTATGAAACATGTGTTTACTGTTTATTGATGTTTATTGAGTTTATTGTGGCTTTCATTGTGCAAATTCTGTTTGTGGCTTTATGAACGCAATAAAAATTGCCATACTTGACTTGACTGGTTAAACTGCTTAATCATGAACAAGATTAGGGGTTAACCACAGAATTACTTCAAGGATCATCCGACTAAAAAAGTGGTTGTCATAACCCTAGTTGATAAGTCTCCATAGGGTGATCCCATACATGTATCTATGTATATTTACAGGTTAGAAGCGTTGCAATTATGATCGCTAATCAGTTGCAAAGTGCGATGATCCTGCAGGTATCATAGGAGAGATGATCTTACTGAATGTCATTTGCAAAGAGGGTCAATTCGAGGCCAGCTATCATCACTTCAGAAACCATGAACAGATTGATTCATAGTTCATTTAATGTCAACCCCGGGTTCATAGCAGACTCTCAGTACTTGTGGGCATCAATCCTAATTTTATTAACCGGGGTTTATGAACTACGGTTTATGAATCCGGATTTACAACAGCAATTCTTGCGCTACATTCAGCGACCATACACCAGAGGTGACGCGAGCTGTAAGAAGGGAAGGTTTTGAAGTGAGTGAGTACTAGATATCACCAGAAAAAAAAAACATGAATTCATGTATTACAAATATGGGAATAAGTAGTCACCAATGAAAATGGTTATATTATTCGCCATCAAGAACGGCGGTTTTCGAAACAAAGAACACTCTGGTTGGTGACGGCTGGTGGTTTCGAGTTTTTCAGCAACCACATTAACATTGCTAGTCAGTTCTTGAATCCATGACGGAGACTTACTACTGATGTTTTACCAATGTTCAGCATTCAGAGTTCCTGAGTAATCCCATCCACCGTGAAATACCTCGCGTGTCCACTACATTCCCCAACGTTTCTATTTGGGGGGTATGAAGACATCAACCACCCTGAGAACAGTGACAAGCGGCCAAATTCAGGATGACATAGGCGGAGATTGCAATGTAGCAGAAACAGAAGATCCAAATGTAGGGCTGCTTCTCCAACAGCTCCTGCCCGTGGGAAATCCCCTTCTCGAACTGTGGGGGATTGTCCAGCTAGCCATGGAGCTGATTGTCAATCCGGCTATGCTGCAGGAATTCCAAACATCATGGCCCAATGGGTATGCAGTTATGGCCGTTTATGAGGTATAACTGGTTATTTCTATGGGGTTATACACTCTATAAATGGGGTTAGTTCAGTACTTATAACTGGTAAAGGGCCATAACTGTGTTAAACTCTATGAACATCGGTTGATAACCATCCCTCAATTAGATCAATTAGTGGGTATCCAACTTTTGACTATGGCACACGTTGCCTTCTATGGCAAGTGAAGATTTCTTGATTGATGACCAAGGAGTTCTTCCATACAGGATACTTGCAGGTGCATCCCAGGCATCATATCAATGGGAATTTCAGGATCCTAAAATGGAGGTACCTACCATATATAAGGCCTATTTTCCAGGCCTATGTAAGGGAATATTCCCACAAAAGATGGTTTTATATGGTACAGTACCTCCATTTTTGGATCCTGGAATTCCCATTGATCATAGGTGGTTTATAACATAATCTATCTATGTGTATCCATGTGACACAAAAAAAATGGGGATGGTTCCATTGATCAAACAAGGTGGTATTGTCCGACAAGATGGTACCCTATCTACGTTTGAGGATCCAACCTTGTAAAACTCTTAGTTGAGGGGAAGGTGTATTCCGGGAATATGCTATACAAAACATTCTCATCTATTTATCTATCTAACTATATGTTTATCTATCTGTCTATCTATCTATTTATCTATCTATTTATCTATCTATTCATCTATTTATCTATCTATCCATTTATCTATCTGTTCATCTATTTATCTATCTATCTATCTACCTATATATCTATCGATCGATCTATTTATCTGTCTATCTGTTTATCTATCTATCGATTTATCTATCAATTGTTCTATGTGTTTTATCTATTTATCTATTCATTTAAATCTTTATCTATTTATCTATATATCTATTTATTTATATATTTATCTATCTATTTATATATAGATTATCTAATCTATCTATCTATCTAACTATCTATCTAATCTAACCTAACCTCACCTAATCTAATCTAATCTAATCTATCTGATCTATCTAATCTATCTAATCGATCTATCTATCTATCTATCTATCCATGTATCTATCTATTCATCTATGTATCTATATATCTATCTATTTATATATATGTTTATCTATCTATTTATTTATCTATCGGTCTATCTATCTATCTATTTATCTATCTATGTTTCTATCTATTCATCTATCTATCTACCCATCTATCTATTTATCTATCTATTTATCTATCTATCTATCTATCTATTTATCTATCTATATATCTATCTATTTATCTATCTATCTATCTATCTATCTATCTATATATCTATCTTTCTATCTATTGTTTTTATCTATTTATCTATCTGTCAATCTATCTATATATTTATCTATCTGTTTATCTATATATCATATATCTATCAATCTATTTATTTATCTATTTATCTATGTGTCTATATTTTCTCTATTTATAAACTTATCTATTTATCTATGTGTCTATCTATCTATCTATCTATATATCTATCTATCTATCTATGTATCTATCTATCTATGCATTTTTCTATATATTTATCTATCTATGTATCTATCTATCTATCTATCTATCTATTTATCTTTTGAACTATATATTTATCTATCTATCTATTTATCTATCTATAGAATTATCTATCTATCTATCCATTTATCAATCTATATATCTATCTGTTTTTTTTTTCTATCTATCGATTTATCTATCTATGTTTCTTTCTTTATAGTATCTATCTATCTATTTATCTATCTATCTATCTTTTTTATCTATCTGACTAACTATCTAACTATCTATCTAACCTAATCTAATCTAATCTAACTGATCTATCTAATCTATCTAATCTATCTATCTATCTATCTATCTATCTATTTATCTATCTATCTATCTATCTATTTATCTATATCTATCTATCTATCTATCTTTCTATCTATCTATCTATCTATCTATCTAATCTATCTAATATATCTATCTATCTATCTAATCTAATCTCCTCTAATCTATCTATCTAATCTATCTAATCTATCTAATATATCTAATCTATCTAATCTATCTTATCTATGTAATCTATCTTATCTATCTAATCTATCTAATCGATCTTATCTATTTAATCGATCTAATCGAGCTAATCGATATAATCGATCTAATCGATCTAATCTATCTATCTATCTGTCTGTCTGTCTGTCTGTCTGTCTGTCTGTCTACCTGTCTATCTATCTATTTATCTATTTATCTCTATATCTATCTCTATCTTTCTCTGTTTATCTCCATCTATCTCCATCTATCTATCTATCTCTTTCGATCTATCGATCTATCGACTTATCGACCTATCTGTCTATCTAAAAATAAATAAATAAATAAATAAATAATGTATATCACAATACTAATCACCACATCCGGAAGGGATCGTAAATTAAGTAAACCTAGTTGCAACCTTTGGGGGCCTCATCTGGATCTTGATACGCTCTACCAAAGGAACCAAAGAACTCTTCGTCAGAGATAATAATGGTGGTTAATAATGGTTAATCACTTATAATCACTGGAGTAACCATAGTGGTAATAATCACTGAAATAACCATAGTGGTAATAATCACTTAATAATGGTTAATAGTGATAAAAGTGGTTGATGATGGAACAATAGTAGTCAATCATGGGATTTAACGGGGTATAAAATGGTTATATGGTTAATAGTGACTAATAATGGTGAATACCATCCAACAATAGATGATTAATCAGCCCTAATGGTTATTAATGGGATAATAGTGAGATTAATTACTTTAGTAATGGTAAATATGGATAAATACGGATAAATACTTGTTAATAATGGTTCAAAAGAGATGAATCCTGGGATAAACAATTGGAAAAAAACGTGAGTGATGAGCCGGATCATCCCATGAATGGCGGGATTTCATGATATCATGGTGAATGGATTCATTCATTCATTATCCCATTGGGGATCCCAGGCACCGAAATAGTGGTGATCATAGTGGTTAATAGGTGCAAATAGTGGTTAATAGATTGCTAATAGATAACTATGGTTAATAGTGGTTAATAGTGGTTAATAGTGGTTAATAGTGGTTAATAGTGGTGAATGGATGGTGAATGGATGGTGAATAATGGATAACAATGGTTATAATAATGATTAATAATATGATACCCTCTGGTAAACTAACATAGCTATGAAAGCCATGGCCCATAGAAATAGATGGTTTACCTATGAATAGCATGGTGATTTTCTAGTTAGCTATGTTAGTCATTACCAGGCCGGGTATCTCCCATGAAATCCCATGAAATGATCACTGGACATGTCAGCTGCTTGGTGGTTGAGCCCTACCCCTCTGAAAAATGATGGAGTTCGTCAGCTGGGACAATATATGAAATGGAAAAACACATGTTCCAAACCACTAACCAGTAATTATCTTAATTATCTTCAGTGAATGGATGAATTATATCTCCAGTGAATGAATTAGAATGAATAATCTGGGTAAATTATAATATTTCACCAACCTGAATCTTGCGGCCATTTGGGGATGATTCCCCTAAAATTAACCATGATTTCCAGGGTTCGAGAGAACAGGGCTCGGTCGTGATGAAATTTACCTAGAATAATGGATGAAATATCTCCAGCGATCTCCATTCCCATTGTGAATGGATATCTCCAGTGAATGGATTATTGAATGATCACTGGAGGATCTACGGATACGAACTGGTTATTTTTTTTTCACTGCTTAGTAACCATACAATGTGGTGCCCCAGTTCGTGGACGCTAAGTTGGGGTTCACATAACTCCAATTTCACGGGAGGGTTTATGGTAGATATACCGAACTACTTTTCATGGGGGTTATAAAGCAACTTATAACTGGGGGGCACCACCTTGTAGTTAGTTCACCCATTTATAGATGGGATAAGCCACTCAATGGGGACGAATCCACTCACCAGGGTTACCTACTGTTCAAATACTAAGTGACATGCGGCCTGGTCCTCCAAATTCTTCCAAGTATGAAAGCATTCATTTTTGGGGCTGAACATATTTTCACAGGATGGGGCCCCCGTTCGAGCTCGCGTTCAGTTGAGATATGGCTGTGGCTGAATGAACTATGGTTTATGCTATATATATCTAGATAGAACTATAATATTCATGGGGTCTATAAACCAACATTCACATATTTCCCATAGATTTTCCATACATTTCCCATTCATGGGGTTTATAAACCAACATTCACATCACCTTTGGTGGCACCATCCTGCCGAGTTCACCCGTCCGCGAGAAAGTCGCTGGCATTGTCCCAAAAAATGAAGCGGGTCATGGCCATGCAGCTCGGAATCCTGGCCCGAAAAAAAAGAATCTGCAGTTATGGCCGTAAAAATGAGTTATAACTGGTTATAAATGGGGTTATACACTCTATAAATGGGGTTAGTTCAGTACTTATAACTGGTAAAGGGCCATAACTGTGGGTGTGTCTGAAAATGGCGAAGAAAACATCAATATGTAAATGGTGAATCTCTAGATATAATGTACGAATCATGATATGATGGATTGATGGTTTTTTCTAGATAATTCAATTTTCGTTTGTTCTAGATATATGATGATATATATCACGATAAGAATCCAATGGACGAAACGGAGTTTATTTTCTCTGAAATATCTTCTATGTTTGGCTATACTTCAATAGGGAAATTTATAGTTGATGAGAATCCAATGGATAAAATGGGCCGATTTTCAAACAAAGCCATCTGAAGAGTTCTTCTGAGTGGAACCAGTCAACTGCATAGTTACGATTTCCCACAGGAAAAAAGGAAAAAATGCCCAAAATCATCAACAAAGCGCAAGACTGTTATCACCGTAGTTCTATCCCACATTTACAATAGTTCGATTATTTTACCAGCAAACCTCAGCGAAAAGGCACTTTTCCAGCTAGCCCATTTCTATTTATGGATGATTAATCCAAGGATTGTAATTGATGGTCTCTATTCTGCTGCCAGTTGAAAACAAATGTAGTTGAATATGAGCAGATTATGAATTCTAATTCCATCATAAATTTCACTTTTTCTTTATGATTGACATCCCCATTTGGATTTTCAACGATATTTTTTCACATCACCCCAAATATTGGGCATATAATATCCATAAAAGTGATGTGAAACAAATCCCCAAATAGGGACATAAAAACTTGGTGCCTCATCCCACTTAGTAAGTATAGCTTGTAAACCTAGGCAGATTTCAGTGGATTAAGCCTACAGTTATGGCCCGGAATACCAGTTGTAAGTACTGAACTAACTCCATTTATAGAGTATATAACAGTATATAACTTCATAGAAATAACCAGTTATAACTCATAAACGGCCATTAAGCCTACTTATCCCACCAACAAAACCAGGGTGAACCAAGTACCACCGGGTGCCGGACAGGCCATTTTGAAAGTTCCAGGCAGCCGTACCTGGAGCGAAGTAGCTACCCCCGTGAGGCGCCATAGGAACATCAGGATTTTCCATGAAAAAATGGAAAACATGGTGGAAAATTAGGGACAATAGTGACTTATCTATGAAAAATATGGAGGCAAAATGAGATTCCCCGTGAAAAATCGGAGAAACAAGTGATTTAACCAGCAAACAAAGTATAACAAAGTGGATTTAGATGTGATTTGAATGATAGCTAAGTGGGATTTTAGCTAGGTTTACTGTGGTTTATGGTTTCTGGTAGATCACTGATACATATATATATATACATATGAAGACTATTTCTCCGCACAGAACCGGACGATTCCCCGGAGCCTTAGCTGGTTGGTGGTGCAATGTGCCCATCTTGAAAAATGATGGAGTTCGTCAATGGGGTTGGGATGACATCCCATTAATATGATGGAACATAAAATTCATGTTTGAAACCACCAACCAGTTCGTGTATATATTGTTTTACAAATGAAATCCAGTATGCCCTACTATATATATATATAGTTTGAGGGGGGTGGCAGGTTTATACCATGTTGTTACAGTATGTTATTTGTAGCTTGTGTTGAAGTTGATGAGAGAGATGTGAAAATTGTGGTAAAAGTAACCGATTATGTCATGTTGGGCAAACGTGAGGTTCCGCGGGTATTTATCAATATAACCGTAAATCCTAGTATGTATTCACCTACTGAACTGAGCCAACTTAGCTTTCTCGGGGAACTTGCCGACCATTTTCAGCAAGACCCATCATCTATCAGAATCTATCACTGCTTGACCAACAAGAGACTCTAGGAATTTCATGAGAGCAATACCCCAAACCTGATACCCCAAACAACCCGAAATAGCCATGATGCTTTCCCTAAACAAACTACCATGTGCTATGTAGGCATGTAGGGATTCTATGAGATTCTGCAGTATCATAGGGAAACAACTCCGTAACAATGTCTGGTTCTTTGGGGTTCTGGGAAAATCTCACAACTTGACAATCCAATCCAACAAAATGGATCTGTTTTGGAAAGGAAAACGGCCATTTGAGAAATTCGGAATCGGTCAATATGGACATGCTCATTTCACACATGTCCCAGATGTCTGCGCTACACACAATACATTCGACAAACATATATATATATATATTATATATATATCATATATATATCATATATATATATACTTTTTTTAAAAAAAAAACTCTAATATATATATATATATATATAAATATGTCGACATACATCATCTCTAGTTGTACATATATATATATTATACAACATTATACAACATTATACAACATTATATAACCCTGGATGCAAAACTTAACCCTGGATAGTAGGATCAGGCAATATATGTATAATGCTTGCACATTTTTTATAGGGAAACATATCCTGTTTGACCACGTGGGTCCGGGTCCCTGGGACAATCGAGCGCGTTCGCGCCTCGTTCTGCCAGCCCCCAAGGTTCGAAGCGGCCGATGAGTTCGATGGCGATGATACCGAACCTTGCAAGGTAGAGAGGCCCCGTGATGGAAAGCCATAGGAACATGGGGATTTACCATGATTTACCCATGAAAAATGGGGAAAATGCTGGAAGATAAAGGGATTTACCGATGAATCATGGAGGTAAAATCAAGTTTGGGTCTCGACTTAGTCTAAACTTGGCTAAATAATTAAGGTTTAAGGATATAATGAACTAGTTCATGGTTTTTGGCTGACATCTTGTCAGCGACTTTTTCATATGTGTTTTAGCAACATAGTTTTGTGGGGACAGGCAGACGCACCAAAAGTATTCATTCCCCGCTTGCGGTTCTGCGAGTTCGCGCGGGTTCTCCAGGCTCAGGTTTGATCTTCGAGTCAGCCTTTTGACCTACCACTGCAGATTCATCAGTCATGGCCCGCTGGAACTGAGAGTTGTGCGGATTGAACGCCCAAGGATTCCAATTGTCCCGAAGCCATGTGTGAAGCAGGATTTTGCCAGACAATCTTGTGCCAATTAGGCTCACACTGGTGCCAAAACAGGCAAGCAGCACAGTCTCTGACATTATATCTAGTTTCCTTTACAAGAAGAATACGCATAGTAATTAGCAATCCTCAAGTCAAAGGCCGTGAAGAAGTGCGCTTGGGACATGCGCAGGCATCGTAAACATTCGTACACGTCTAGCCGTCTAGCCTACATCCAACGCAGAGTTGGTCGCTGGAGACATAGCCGTTGAAAGGAGTGCTCTACCCTCCAGTAAATTAACATAACGACCCGGCCAGATAAGGATTGGAAGATTAGTTTCCACTAAACATTCGAAATTTTCAGGGTCAAACTGTTGATTTACCAGGGGGGGACTATTCACCAACTGCAGTTTGCCAAGTGCTGTTGGTTAGCATCACCAGTTGCTACATAGTGCAAATATCACCATGCTGAGTCAGATTGAATGGTTCATTGGGTTAGTAGACCAGCAAATATAATATACCATCTGGTTATTTAACATAGCCATGGACAATCATCATTTTTAATAGGTAAACCATCTATAAATGGGTCATTTTCCATGGCTATGTTAAATAACCAGAGGGTAACCATGATTTCTGAGTTGTATGTTGTATCCCGCACTTTTCCTGGTTGAATCAAGTTGAACCATCATTTTTGTTGCTTAACAATGCGTATTCTCTAGTCATTGACGCATTTCTCCTAATATGTCAATGCCCTGCTCAACTTTTTGGAGCTCAAGGGACCTAAACAAATCAAAATCATCCAGTCTTCCCCCTAAAATTCGGCATTTTTCTGATTTACAACACCAAATTTCTTCGGACTTTCCCTTTTCAATCCCACCGGATGCTGCCCCCCAGGTATGTTTGCTGGTTTATAACCCCCGTTAACTAGTTCGTTAAATCATGTTATCTCCACCATAAACCCTAGAATTCAGCCACTGCCATACCTCAACTAAACGCACGCACGCGATCTATTCCATGAAATATCCCCATTGATGGTTGTTGATATATCACTATAGATATAACATCCATTAACAAATAGATATAACACCCATGAAAACACCCATTAATAGTCACTATCGTTTCCATCTACAGATCTGGGTAAATTATAATATTTCACTAACTTGAATCTTGCGGCCATTTGGTGGTGATTTCCTTTATTAGCCATGATTCCAGGGCTCGGTCGCAGTGAGGTCGTTATAATTTACCCAGATAGTTATGTTAGTTTACCAGATGGTAGCCCTGTAAATCCCATTAAATCCCATTAAACCACCATTTTCCTGGCATGAAAACATCTCCCTCCGGGCTCCCTCCGGGCTCCATCTCCCATCATCTCCGAGGGGCAGAAGGTCCAGCATGGCCAGCAAGATGACGCAGGCGGCCAATGTGGAGATGGTGCCCAGTAAGCCCGCCAGCAACATCTGCGAATGGAGGGCTGCTGGACTGCTGGATGTCGCTAATGGTGGCTAGCGGGCAACATCTTGGGGAGGTCATGGGGATACCATAGATATCCATGGAATATATAATATAATATAAGATATAATATAATAAAAAAAAAATAATATAATAAAAAAAAATATAATATAACATAATATAATATAATAATAATGTAAACTATAATAAAATATAATAAAATATAATATAATATAATATAAAAAACACATAAAATATAATATAAGATAATATAATATAAAATATAATATACTATAATAAATATAATATAATATATAATATAATATAATAAAATATAAATATAATATAATATAAAATATAATAACATATAATATACTATAAATATAATATAATATAATATAATATAATATAATATAATATAATATAACACATAATATAATATAATATAATAACATAAAATATAATATAAATATAATAAATAATATATATATATATATTATGTAAATGTGTATATATATATATTATATGTATATGTATAAATATACGTATAAATGATCTTTGGAATTTTGATTTGGGTCTGTCTCAAGTTGTGGGGGTTAAATAAACATTTTTTGTAGTGAGATCATAGGATATAGTTGATGGAAATGAATGGGTTAGATGTTGAAGTCCACTTGATGTCATTTTTGGGGCAGGGATTCTCCTGTTATCCATGAATGCCGAATAGGCTTTTAGCGCCCCAACCATTCGGAATATCATTAGGTTTCTTAATGGGGGTATGCGATCTGGAATGTGACATTTTTTTTTGTGTCCCAAAGATTCTCAAAGTGTGGATTTACGCAAATTATCCCATATTTAAGGCCATCGAAGAATGGAGAAAACACATAATACACCATTGGTTCTGGGAGTTGATACTGAACTCGATATGGATACTAAGCTCTTGGGATGTCTATGTGGACCAACGATGATTTTAGCTGGTCACTTGTCGGGACTTTTACGATTCCGATGCTCTTTTGATGTCCAACAATATAGCCGGGTGTGTATCTATTGCTTTTATCATACAATAGATTATATGTTCTGATGTATACATGCATAGAACGGGTATACATGGGGGTACCAACCAGGGGCAGACCAACAAAAATGTGATTTGCTAAATCAATTTCAGCATTACAAGGTCACAATCTGTTCACACCAACCAGTTGCCATCACTTCACAGGCTGGAATTTCATGCTGTGCCCATGAAGTGGGATACTATCATACAGGATGGTGCCCCCCAGTTCTAAGTTGGTTTATAACCCCCAGAAAAATAGTTCATTATATTTACCATAAACCATAGTTCATTCAGTCAACTGAAAGTTTTGTGCTCCGGGGGCCAAAAATCATGTACTCTCTGGTAATTTAACATAGCTATTGAAAATGGCCATTCATAGTTGATTTACCCATTAAAAATGGTGATGTTCAATAGTTTTGTATCTGCCTTTTTTCACTAATTCACAGACCTCTTTCAGCCTTGCTGCTGTTGCTGGAGCGTTGAGGGATCCGTTTGCCATTCGTTTTTCGGATCGTTGAGGTCATTCTGGCATCCAGATCATGTATTAAATCATCTATTGGTGGCTCATCATTAATGGTTGATGATGGTGAAATAACCGGAGGGTAATGATATATCATTGACCTTGTATTAATTTAATAGTGGTTAATGATTCTCTGAACTATCAACCATTATCAACCATAGATATAACATGGGTAGATATATCCAGTTTTTAGATTGGGTGTAAAAATGATACCCCCTGGCAAATTAACACTTTGACCCTGAGAATCGCCAATTTTCAATGTTTTCACTAATCTTCCAACCCCGATGAATGCCAGGGTCAAACTGTTTATTTACCAGAGGGTACTACATATTGCCTAGTTTTTCACAATGATCGTACCATAAAATTCAAGCGATACTGAAAAGATCTGAGAAAAAAAAAGCATCTATGTATAAGGGATCAAACTCTTCAGGGTGGTGCTCCAGTTCGTTAGCTACATCTGTTTACTCCAAATTCAGGTGTTATAGTAGATATGTCTTACTAATTCGGCTTCATAGTATATATAGTATATATATATATAATTTTATGCTGGTGGTTATAAACCAACTTGTAAGCGTAAAACACCAGCTTAAAAAAAAAAACGTCAAACATCTGACATAAGTTTCAGGAATGATTTCCGCCAAACAAACCAGCATTTGTCTGCGCCTTGTCAATTCGTGGAGCAGCATGGGAGCAGTCAGCATTTGCTGCAATCACTTGGATTTAGCTTACAGTTATGGCCGTTTATGAGTTATAACTGGTTATAAATGGGGGTATACACTCTATAAATGGGGTTATAAGTACTTGTAACTGGTAAAGGGCCATAACTGTAAAGAACCACCCAAAAAATCCCAACATGTTCCCCATAGATTCCCTAGTACTGGATCTCCCATTGGGAAAATGTCCTTAAAATCATCGATTCTTGGACATGCCCAATAATGTTAAGCATCTTATCGCTGAGGTACACAACGTTAAGAATCATAAATAGTCATAACATGTCACGATCAGTCCCTGCCATACCTTGAAGGTATCGAAATTCTTCAAGAACGCGAAAAATCGCAGGGTCTGGCGCAGGGAGTTGGCAGAATCGGGACCTGTTGGAAGCCATGGACCGATGAACACCTTGATGATTTCTACAATGTGGTCCCCCCCAGCTTTTTTTATTGGTTTATAAACCCGATTAACTCGTTATAAGTATCATAAACATTCATAAACCATAGTGGAATTGTTAGTTATGTATAGTTATGTTCACCAACTTAGCTATCGTTTGGGGGCCCCGCATTGTATATTCAACATGCAGACTTTGCTTTGAAACAAACTCCTGAAACGCGGGTACCCATCTAGCAGGACATGTTTCTCAATGTCATTCTTACAATTTGGGGCCCCCAAACGATAGCAAAGTTGGTGAACATAACTCCAAACAACTATGGTTTATCATATGCAAATACCTATAGCATTCATGGGGTTTCTAAACCAACGTTCACATCACTGGGGGGGGCCTACATTGATGTCATTCTTTCTGGCAACGAAATCATGAAACCTTGGTGGCCTCATCGAATCATCTCAGGCACCAAGAATCTGTGATCCAATCCACCATGCAGAAACCCAACCATTTACCTTGCATTTGGATTGACTGATTGACATATGAATACATATGATAGGTTGGGTTTCTGCAACTGATGTGGGTGATCAATGGTGATCAAATGATTGCTTCTCCAAGCCATGCTCCATCGATCATTCTGAGCTTCCAACTCGCATACTTCGCAAGACATTCAAGGACTGAGTGATCCTGAGCGGCGAACTTTCGGCACATCAGGACAGGGAACCACCAATGTTCACCATCAGCGGAGGTCGTATTTTAGCGGTGCCAAAGATTAAACCTTGCAATTTCTGATCTCTGCACATGATTGTTAGTCCATTTGAATCATCAACCCATTTTTTCTAGAGATCGAACATTCAATCAAAATATCTGGAAACGCCGCCAAGTAACCATTGCGAACCCATTCTTAGGTGCTTAAATCCATTTCAGCTGATGAAACAATCGTTTTCTTTGGGAACTTACAATGGATATAACATGATCTAACCATCTAAACACCACTTCATACCGAGCTCGCAGCGGGCTTCGCTTCACCTCGATGGGAATAAAACATGAACACGTCACGCAAAGGTTGCAACAAAACAGGAGGAGATGACTAAGAGAATCATTAATTAAATCCAGATCATGTATTAAATCATCTATTGGTGGCTCCTCATTAATGGTTGATGATGGTGAAATAACCGGAGGGTAATGATATATCATTGACCTTGTATTAATTTAATAGTGGTTAATGATTCTCTGAACTATCAACCATTATCAACCATAGATATAACATGGGTAGATATATCCAGTTTTTAGATTGGGTGTATAAATCATACCCCCTGGTAAATTAACAGTTTTACCCTGAAAATCACCAATTTTCGATGGAAACTTGTCTTCCAACCCCGATGAATGCCAGGGTCTATGTTACTTTACTGGAGGGTCATATATATATATTCCCATATTCCCATAATCATATGATAATATTCCCATTGTATCCATGTATAGAGCAAACACAACTATTACCAGGTCTTTATGATGGTTGATATGGCTACACATGGTTAATGATGGTTAATCATCTATGGTTGATCGTGGTTCATGATAGTAAATCATGGATAAGAATGGTATTAGAAGTGTCACTTGGTGGCGAACTACCCACGAATCGTAGGTTAGTTCAGTTCGCCCTAGTTATTGCACTGGATTAACCTTATCCCACTAACAAAACCAGGGATATAACCTACTTACTAAGTACCAAGTATATGTATATATATATAGCGGTCCTATGAATCCAATGGGTATATCACGGTATATAAGATAATAGAACATCATTATCATATCTGGGGAAATTATAATACTTCACTAAATTGAAAATTCGCGGCCATATTTTGGGATAATTCCCCTAAAAATAAACCATGATGAACCAGGCTTCGGGAGAGCAGGGTTCGGTCGATATAATTCGCCCAGATCAGCAGGGAAGATCTTAGACCTTGGTTTTCCTACACCGCAACTGGAACTGGAACCCAAAAAATGTTTATATGTCGCAAATTGGTTCTTGTCGGTTATAAGTTGTCTATTTGTAACCCCATTATCGATAAGATCCATTATCATCCATTATCTACTATGAACACTATAGTGAAATTGGAGTTGCAAACCAACTTAGCGATTCCGAACTGGGGCACACCGGGCACACCGCCTTGTACCTAGGATTACACACATGGAACCATTATCCTGATTAGTGAAGCAGGATGAACCTACCAGTGTGGTTGAATGAAACTTGGAATGAAACTGGCCCCCTACCAGTCATACTCATGAAAGTACCATCCAGTGAATTAACATAGACCCTGGTAGATAGGGGTTGGAAGACTAGTTTCCTCTTAAAAAAATGTGATGTTCAGGGTCAACCTGTTAATTTACCAGAGGGTAATTGTCACAGATGACCCGTTTTGACAGGTGTACGGCCCCATCTTCGGTAAAGTGGGAGGATTCATACTTATACACGTTTTTTTTTTAATTGCAGACATATGCAGGCATGCATAAAAGATGCAGAAAAGGTGGCAAATCTTTAAGAAAGCAATCAACTAACACAATAGTTGAGGTAGCTCTCCTCTCAAACCATTCAATTTGAATGGTGTTGGGCGATGTTGGGCGTGAAGATTGCCTCTGTGATGGAGATTCAAGGTAAGATTGAACGGATTTTTGTGGGAGATATCAAGGAAGGCTTCCCCCACGACTAACTGCCTATTTCACTGTCATACTATCCTTTTTTTTTTATTTCTTTTCAGCAACCTGACATTTTGGGATGCTTAGCGTTCCCCCTCACTCCTCACAAAAAGAAGAATAGTAATCAAATAATATAAAATATAATATATATATAATATCATATATCACACACGTATATGTATATATATATATATATAATCATATATTCGCGGAATTATAATCCACTGCTTGGGCATGTTTTGGCGATATTTGCCAGCGGTAGTTGTATCCTCATTATAATTCTTGGTGTTATAATTATCTCCGAGGTTATTGATGGTTTGAGTTTAAGCTCCAACCACCATCGGAAATGGGTATATCAAGCGAATGATCACCTCATATGTATATAATATATATATATATTATATACACCATTAAAACATGGTAGCCTCCCATAAACTTTTAGATAGATGAGGATGGGTCAAAACCTTGTACCCCTTTTGTGAACATCAAAATAGCTGGGATTTATGGGTTCAATGGATGCTCATCCTCCTAAAACATGTATTTATAGGTATTGATCCATAGCCAAATGTGAAGAACACACTAATGTCAACCCTGGATTAATAAACCCCGTTTACGGCTGTTGGGAAGGTACCATTTAAGTATTAGATGAAATGACTATTGGACACTATTGGAGGAGTACCCCCCCTAATTAATCTTACGGGTGCTTAGCAGGGAATTTTCGGGAATGATCCACAATAACTATCAATAATCATCCCATTCCCCCATTCTCATCCATTCCCCACAGTTATGGCCGTAAAAATGAGTTATAACTAGTTATTTCTATGGGGGGAAAAACACTCTATTTCTATGGGCTTAGTTCAGTACAAACATAACTGGTATAACTCGGGCCATAACTGCACTAAAAATCGCAATCCAGATTATTCAGGATTAGTCCCTACCCATCCAGTTGGTTGACCTAGCATTTGTTTATAGTTGACCATCCAGTTGGTTGAAGCCATAACTGTAGATATCCTATTAGCCAATGATATTCCCATGATATTCCCATTCATTTACCACGGTTCTTTACCACGGTTTACTAAGCACCAGTAAGTTTATTAATCCTGGCATGATTTGTAGATCATTTCCCCACCGTTTCACCGGTCGACCAGCCAAGGCGCATCTTGAAGCGTCAAGGGAATGATCCACCTTAGCAACGGGCCAAGTAGCTAGCCTGGATGATATGATAAATATTAATGAATACGATCTATGAATATGAATATTATTGTTTAGATACAATGTATTAATATAGTAACTGTTTGAATATGAATACATATGAATATATGAAATATATATGTATAAATCTTGTATAAATTACTTAAGAGTCTTATGAACATATGATGAATATCATCAATAATATTAATATTGTGATTTTTGCAATGATTATGATTATGATGAAGAAAAAAAAGATAATGATGATGATGATTGTGATGGTAATGGTGATAGTGATGTTGATGAGGCCGGTGATGGTAGTGATGATGTTGTTGATGATGATGATGTTGATGACAATGATGACGACGACGGCGATGATGACGATTATGATGGTGGTGCAGTTATGGCCCTTTACCAGTTATAAGTACTTATAACCCCATTTATCGAGTATATAACTCCATTTATAACCAGTTATAACTCATAAACGGCCATAACTGTGGTGGTGGTGCCGGCGGTCGTGGCAGTGGTGATTATACTGATGATGAGTATATAAATTACTATTGTTACTATGATCGTCGAGCTGCACGATTATGATTTATTATGACGGTGACACGATGGCAACTACAAGTAGGGCATCATGCAACTCAACATCACTGAACGGGTAGCTCGGAAAAAAAAATAAAAAAATAAAGACATCCCCCTAAAATTAAACACCCCCCAAATATGTGCTGTCCATCCCGTATTTTCTGGGGTGTGTTTATTGTAATACGGGAAGGGATCAATGGCAAATCAATATCCCATTCTTGTAAACCCCTTACATTCTGTACTTCTCCTTGGTATTCCGTCTCTATTTCCCCATGTCTGCTGGGTTTTCCATTAAGAAAATAAGGAGACACCTTAAACAAACCCAAGATAGCCAATCACCCATCTGCAAAATCATCAACCAACCATACCCTCTAGTAAACTACCCTCTAGTAAACTAACATTGCTATTGAAAATGGCCACTTATAAACTTATATTCGATTTACCAACAATGCTGATTTTCGATAGTTATGTTATGAATCATGATTCCAATCCCTGGAGATCATAAGTTGGGACTATAAGCCTACTTATCCGATAAGTATATAAATAAGCAAACTTATGACGGATTTGGGCTAAGTAGGTGAAATAGCTATACTTAACGGAAAACCGATTTCCGACAAACCAATATCAACTTCCGACAACTCAGTTTGGCATCAAATGCCTCATACCCGCCAACCCCATCTTCAGAAAGTAGTTGTTCATTACTGCACCGCACCAAGAAATCTGGACTGTGCCAAGTGGCTTCATCGCTTTATTTCACTCTTTCTGCCACGATTGGAGTCTCAGGAGCCACCTGGTGAGAATCCTAAATTCGAAAAGTGGCCCTTTGTGCACTCTACATGCTAAACGTTTCAAAAGACCTATATGGTCTTCATCACGAAAGCAATGATGGTGTCTGCAGTTTTGCTTTGACTGCAGCATGTCTTCGCACAGGTGCAGAAACACATGTAATTTTGGAAGATATTTCCAACGTCGCGATCCACTGAGTACTGATTGTATTCCAAGCCGGCTGTAGCTCTTCAAGAAAGTCATGCCAAATTTGAAGATAGATGCGGCCTCGCTCTGCGATAAGTAGCGTCCACCTCTCTCCACAGCATCGAACCAAGCACACATCGATCGTGCAGCAAGTGCTGCGTTGGTCACCTCAACACCAGGATCTGACCCAGCATCACGCGCAGAATTGAGATATGCACGGAGACAGATGTCAAGGAAGATGATCATCAACCTCCCATTCCATGCCTTTATCGTCAGGCATGGATGCGATTCGGCATGCAACATGCCTGCCGTGAGATACCCTTGGCTGTGCCTCAGATGTTCCAATCATACTCACCACATTGGCACAGTTCAGATTTCTAAGGGGCGGTGCAAAGTAATGGAACCAAAAAGGTCTTACCAAAGTCAGCGTTAAAGGAAAATCTGTCTGAAGTTGGTGCCAAAAACTCAATGCAATTGATGCTTGCCCATTGTCTAAATCGGGTTGAACAAACCCGCAGCTTCTGGTCCAAAGTGTACGTATCGGGTCCGAAAAATCCTCACTTGTGATCATGGTGTACCTAAAGTTAAATATAATGTTCAGGAACCAAATTGGCATCACTCAGATATTGCTGAAACAATATGAAGCATTCCCCAGGATTATTAGCCCTAAATTGTTTTAAAATCCCCAACAACATTTCCAAATGTAAGGGAACCAGGAACAAATAGACAAGAACAAACAAATATATGTGGGTATACTCCTGGGCTCCCAAAGATGCCAGAAGATCGATGATGGATCCGTTCAGGTGTTGCAATATCCCAAGGTTTACGCAATGCATCGAGCACCATCGAATGTGCTCAATGCGAAACCCAGCCAACCCCAAGATCGGATGACTAGTCCTGTCAGCTGACCATGTGGAAACCACATGAGTGAATGAATTGGATAACATTACAGCCCAAATCCGTCATAAGTTTGCATATGAATATTTATATATATATATAAGTTGAGTTGTAGTCCCGACTCGTGATCTCCCCAGGGAATTTGATTTTGGTAGCTAAAGATATATTACGCCAAAATATGGAATCACGGGTGCCTTAAGACCATACTCGGTTTTGAATTGAAAACACAAAAGTGTTTGCATAGTTCGATTTGCGTCCCATGTCCTGAAGCAGTTGTTGATGGCATTTGCGGTGGATCTTCGGCGAAAGGATTTCGTAATTTGGGTCCACCTCATGTTGCAAACAAACCCAACCACCCGAAGAGGGAATACTGGCTATCACCAGGAAATCAGTAGTATGTATACGGGTTAAAACATTGACAACCTTATGTAGGCAGGAGACTACAACCGTCGGACTTGCCACCAAAACCATATAGTTTGTCCAACGTGACTATATTAATCATCCAAGATGTTCAAAGGCGCTAACGCCCATATAGCGGAATACCCCGTATCGTTGGACAAACTATAATATTATATGATAATGACAAACCCCAATATTGATAGGCAAGGCTCCGCATAAACCCAGACTTGCGAGCCATGCAGCGATGGCAAAAGTTGCCAGCAGCCCAGTGCGCTGACAACTGGAGGGCCTCCCTCTGCCACTTCCAGTCCCCCCGATGCTCGGTGCAGAAAGCGGGACCCCCTGGCAGGGATATAGCTACTTGTAAGATGGGTTTATAACCAGCTATGGGGGCATCACCAGATCCCAATTGTAGATTTAAAATGCTCATTATGTTTTTTTTTGGGGGGGCGGTAGATTGATGCCTAATCGCCTTTTTGGAGGGTTAAGATTAAAAACCCAACATGAATACAGGACTGATTCATCTAGATGATCCTTATCGGCCTGCAATAGGTTTGCCAGCATTTTTCATGTTCAGAGCAGGCAGCGGTTGCCCATTCAATCCAGTAGAGGGATGAATGCCGGTAGCTAGTACCTTGTGATGATATATACGTTGGAAAAACACTAGCTAATATAAATGGATACAAGCGTAGTCATCAAAACATATTCATGGAAAACAAAAATGTTTGCCAATACCAGGATGCATTGAGACTCCAACAAATGATTTCCCAAATTGGTTGCAGGCTGTAGTCTGGAATTGCCAATGAACACCGAAGAGTAAAGAGCGGATAGCGACATAGATCCAAACCTTTTTATGGGAAGGGAACGCATCATTAATGTTGCAAAATGATGATTACCAACTCATAGAGTTATATATTTTGGGCACCCATCTAGGAACCACAGGATCACAAGACTAAAAGCAAATACTGCTTTGGATTCAAGGGGCTCTTGGGCTCAAACAGCACCACATTCATTGCTATCCCAATCAGTTTCTCACCTGTTTGGGTGTATTTAGCGTCGTCGCCGTAAAGGCCAACAATGTTGCCATCCACCAAAGCACCGGGATGTGTGGGATCCACACGTTCCCAATACTCACGGATTTTCTCCCTGTCCAACTGCAGTTTCTGGCTGGCCTAAGCCAGTGGAGAAATGAACGGCCCCAATAATATACGGAATTGTGGGGAAGGTTAGTGGTCCACATAAAAGGAAGGCAATCCCATCAGGTCAAATCAGTAACATTTCAACATATAACCGAGGCTCGTAAAGATAGTTGTAGATCTCATGAGGCAGCAAAACTGGGACCTTCATTGTTTCGAGGGTTTCCCTGTTTGTAGGGCTCCGAACAGGAATGGTAATCCAAATTGGACTCACCGGCAGTTGCAATAAGGTTGCCAAGTCCCTCTCAATGTTGTTTGGAAATTTCCCATGGGCTCCAAGTGCTGCAAATCGATGGGTCAGGGGACTAAGTTTTCCTCCACATTCCTCCGCAGGGTTCCCCAAAATTGTGTTCAAGACAAATTAAGATTTGCCCGTCATAAGACCGAAAGTGTTTAAAGATGATCCCCAAGTCCTTCAAAAAGTTTGTTTTACTTTAAAAACTAAATTGAGTCCGAACCCCCTCCCAATCTCCTTTGCTTCCTGCACAGCCGCACTTGCGGCTCTTTGCAATTCAGCACAACTTGTAGCCTCAGGGCGCCGTTGACACCAGAAAAAAGGAAAGAAACCATTCGGGTGCCTTCTATAACGCTCTAGCCTAGACCTTTCACCTACCACTCTGGGGCACATAGTAGCTAATTCACCCAAGCCACTCCGCGCCCCAGCGAACTGATGAGGTAGTCAGCGTAGCTGTGAGTACCTGGATTCAGCGACATTGTCATGAAGCCGAAATGTCTCAGTTAACCTCAGCACTATTCCAGAATACGTAAATGATAATTTTCTGACATCATCAGCGAACTATAGTCTGGAATGACATCCTTTTCGCGCTTTTCGGTCAGCAAGCCCTGAAGATCTCTATGCGGAGAACCAAAATGTCAGGTGGATAGCACCCATCTTCACTGTGGCATTTTCAGCCCTACCATCCTTGCCGTCAGGTCAACGCGAAACAC